GGGCAAGTGGAGGGGGGGGACGGGCTGCGGCTACCGGGCTGCTCCGGGCTGCTCCGGGCTGCTTTGGCATCCCTTGGGAAACTCCGGCTGGGAGGAATTCGCTCCTCCCGCAGTGATGGGGAGGGACCTGGATCCCAGTGCCAGGGATTGGGCTGGATGTGGATCCCAGTGCTGGGGATGGATCTGGGAAGAGACCTGGATCCCAGTGCTGGGGATTGGGCTGGACGTGGATCCCAGTGCTGGGGATGGATCTGGGGAGGGATGTGGATCCCAGTGCTGGGAATTGGGCTGGACGTGGATCCCAGTGCTGGGGATGGATCTGGGGAGGGATGTGGATCCCAGTGCTGGGGATTGGGCTGGACCTGGATCCCGGTGCCAGGGATTGGACTGGATTTGGATCCCAGTGCTGGGGACAAACCTGGATCCCAGTGCCAGGGCTTGGCTGGACGGGGATCCCAGTGCTGGGGATGGATCTGGGGGATGGACCTGGATCCCATTGCTTGGGATGGATTTGGGGAGGACATGGATCCCAGTACTGGGGAGAGACCTGGATCCCAGTGCCAGGGATTGGCTGGACGTGGATCCCAGTGCTGGGGATGGATTTGGGGAGAACCTGGATCTGGAGGAGGACATAGATCCCAGTGCTGGGGCTGGATCTGGGGGAGGATGTGATGCCAGTGCTGGGAATTGATCTGGGGAAGGGTGTAGATCCCAGTGCTGGGGATGGATCTGGGATTTTCTTAGGGCTGAGACCCCAGTCCTGACCCACCCAACGGCCCCCTCAGTGCTTTGGGGTTTGCTCCCTGCCCCAGAGCAACCAGAGCTGGGGACACCCAGTGGGGGCTCCCCAGTGGTCACTGGGATGTCTGTACCGGGCACGTAACCACCGGGGACGGGATGAGTGTGTGGGGCATTGTGTGGGCACTGAGCCCATCCCGGCCGGTGCCGCACGGGGCATCTCCCTCCTGGGGGTGCGGGCTGGGGCAGCGTGGGCAGCACGGGACCCCCCCGGGGCTCGCCTTTGAGGGGAAAAACCTGCCAGTCCTGCTGGGATCCTGCCTGTGCTCCTGGCGGGAGCTTTGCCCAGGGATTCCTGCCTCGAGTCCGCAGCTCCTGGCGCGGCCGAGCCGGCCTTTGGGAAGAGACGCCCCGTCTGGGCTTCCAGGCTCCGGGGGAGGCCAGTGCTGCCTGCACAGCGGCCCCGGGGCTGTTAAAAATACAAAAATACTCGCTTGTCTCCACGCTGAGTGTGTCTGGCGAGGCCAGGAGCCCTGCTCTGCCCCGCTCTGCCCCGCTCTGCCCCGCCGCCGCCGGAAAAACCGCCCCACTCGAGGGGTTCCCCGCACGAGGGGAGTTTTTGTGTGTGTCAGGTTGAAGAGGGCATCCCCCAGGTAGAAAGGCCAGAGAGAGCAAAGCTGCTCTGGTCCCTCGGAGCCCGGGGAAGACGTTTGGCATCGCTGTCCCTGTGCCCTCACCCCCACATCCCTGCATCCCGTTCTCTGCCCAGCCTGGCCTTCATCCCCCTGAAGCGGAGGGGCTGCAGCTGCCCGGGCAGGACTCCCCCTTCCCCTTCCCCTGCTTCTCCCCATGGGGACACGTGTGACACTGCTCAGCTCCTGCCTCCCCACTGCCAGCAGTGTCACTACATGTCACCGTGGGAGCCAGGGACATGGCAGGCACCGGTGGTGTCACACTGACGATGGGGACCCATGCCAAGGGTGGGCTGTCACTGTCCCTGTCACCTCTCCCTCGTCCCGT